ATATTTATTCACCCAAACCATATTTGGTATCAATGTTATACCTAACAGTTTCCACCCATTGCTTCTTTTCCTGCCCTGAGGTGCTTTGGAGAATAGCTTGACACACTCTTTGTGGCAGCCCCTGAGATATTGGAACAATGCAATCATGTCACACCCTAGTCCTTCTTTTCATCAAATTAGACATACCCCGTTCCAGCAATGGTTCTTTATATGTTTTAGCTTCCAGTCCCCTAATCATCTTTGTTGCTCTTCTCTGCACTCTTTCTGGAATCTCAACATCTTTTTTACATCGTGGTGACCATAACTGGATACATTTGTTCTGATCCACTTGAAGAGATGGCCAAAAAAATGGAATTAGCCCAAGCTTTGGGGAGACTATGAACAATCCACCAAATGAGATCAACAGACAAATCAATATAGTCAAACAAACTGATATTCAAGAGAACCTGTTAAAGACAGATTACATAAACAGAACAAAACTTGTCTGGTTGTCATCTACACTACAGCACACAGCTCAACTCACTGAAATGCATAATTTAAAAGCTACATCCCATACAATGACTTTTTACTTTCTCAGGTATTGGGTAGCAGGAGTAGTTGCACATAATTAAACACCCAGCCTGGAGCAGATTCTCACAAGTATCAAGAATTAACAGGACAGTGATACTAACATGGAGATCAGACTATTTAACAAACTCACCTTTACATATCACCCCCTTTAAATCAACAATACCACCAGGGGTCTCAACAACTTTCATATGAGATTAGAGAAAGAGTAGGTGAAAGTGTGTCTAACGTGATATAGGTCATTATAAGCCAGTAATACTTCTCTGGATTTACATAAAATAAATAAGCCAAATTTGTGTAACAGGATTAATGCTCATACAATTTGACATCAGAACTCAAAACAAGATAAAGTAATAGCAAGCTATTTCAACCTTCTAGGGCACTGCATGGTTGTTTTTTTGGGGGGAAAGGAACTTTAACATCACAATTAACAAGAGACCGTGGAACTCGCATACATAGACATGTATCTTAGAAAGTCTCAATAGACACAATGGGTTTTTAAAAGATTACATATTACAATTGTTAACTGATATAGTTTGTAATCAC